GGGTTGAAAATGAATTTTCAATTAAGGCTCAATCAGGGCACAATGGATAAATTTATCACAAGAAAAGGCTAAGGCTCAATGCAATTCAAATATGACCTAAAATCATCTCTAGATAAGCATGGGGAGACATTGGCATTTTAAGACAAGGTCAATCTACCATCCATATGTAGTCTAACCAAATCAAGCATAATAAGATTATTGAACAAATTGTTTCATTGAGTAAATGTAAGTTCCCTTTAACAATGATTGACACTAAAGTTCACACGAATACTTTCTTCATCTCCACTATGTATGTCATGCTCTAAAATGTGGATCCAATCAGTAAATTTTCAAAATTACACATTCAAGGTGCACTATGGTTGAGTTTGAAAGAAAACACATATGTAACACTCAAGCATAGGATAAATTTCTATGATGTACTCATGTGTTCAAAGTTTAAGATGAAGATCAAACTATCACTAGACCTGTAACACTTTGAATAGGAGAATATGGTTCAACATTCAGATATTTTTCTCAAAAAATTTTAAAATTGTCCACCTATTTCAATTCTATACAAAAAGTTTGAAGAATATGTGAATGGTGCATTTCACCACCAAATGGTATTGTCAACAAAAAATTGGTGTATCATACAAATGGTGTACCTTACCCCCCCCCCCCAACTTGAACTACACAATGAGCTTTGACAAAAACACCCCTATATGCACATATGAAGAAAGAACACTATGCATAAATGAAAGTAAGTAAAAAATTTAACTTGCAAAGTAAAGAATAAAGGAAAACAATTGTACACTAATATCTAATTGAACAGTTATGCCTCAACAAGGTCCAAATAGACCGGATCCACCAACTCCTCTTCCACTGTTTGAATTTCAAAACCCTCGAAGAATAGTTGAAGCTTTTGGCCATTGACCTTGAATGTTTTACCATCTTCAAGGATTTCTATGTCCATGGCTCCATTTGGGTAGGCCACCATGACAATGTAGGGGCCATCCCATCATGATCGAAGTTTCCCTTGAAAAATGGAGAGGTGAGAATTATAAAAGAGAACTTTTTGGCAGGGCTTAAATGTCTTTCTCAAACTGGATTTGTCATAAAAAAATTTTGCCCTTTCTTTGTGAATTTTATACCTATCATATGCATCTCTACAAATTTACTCCAATTCATTTAACTCCAACTTCGTATGTTCCCTAGCTATTCTCAAATTGAAATTTAAGGTTTTTATGTTCCAATATGCCTTGTGCTCTATCTCTATTGGCAAGTGACAAGTCTTGTTGCAAACTAGCCGATAGGGAGACACACCAAGGATGGTCTTATGGGCAGTGTGGTAAGCCCACAAGGCATCGGTCAATCTAAGTGACCAATCCTTTCGATTTGGATTAACCATTTTCTCTAGTATGCTCTTTATCTCCCTATTGGCCAACTCGGCGTGGTCATTAGTTTGTGGGTAATAAGCAATGGACACCTTGTGTGTTACACTATATTTATGCATCAAAGAAGCAAATGGTTTATTACAAAAATGTAAACCACCATCATTGATCATTGCACGAGGTATCCTAAACCTAGAAAAAATATTTTTTTAAAAAAATTTGACCACGACTCGATGGTCATTGGTCTTGGTCGGGATTGCCTTTGCCCACTTGGACACGTAGTCCACTACCAATAGGATATAGAGGTAGCCAAAAGGCATAGGGAATGAACCAATGAAATTGATGCCCCAACAATCAAAGATTTCAATGACTAGCACAGGGGAGAGGGGCATCATGTTTCTACGTGTTAGACTTCCCAACCTTTGACACCTATCACATTGTTTGCAAAAATGAGACACTATTTAATCAATGTAAGCCAATAAAAACCGCTTTGTAAAATCTTAGCTGAAGGTTTCTTGGAAGAGAAGTGTCCACCACACGCCTCAGAATGACAAAAGTAGAGGACATCCCTTTGTTCATTTTCCACTATGCACCTCCTCATGACTTGATCAAGGCAATATTTGAACAAGTAGGGGTTGTTAATGCAGAATTACTTCACATCCACCATGAATTTTCTCTTATCTTCTGTGCTCCAATGTGGGGGTATTTGTCCTATGACAAGAAAATTACAAATGTCAGTATACCACAAACAAACTGAATGGATAGAAAATAGATGCTCATCAGAGAAAAAATAAGTGATAATAATGTACTCTTCGGCGTCTTGGACAACAAACCATGACAAATGGTCCGCCACCACATTCTCGACTCTTTTTTTGTCCTTGATGATTAGGTTGAATTCTTGAAGGAAGAGGATTCACCTAATCACTCTCGGTTTAGCGTCCTGCTTAGACAACAAATACTTCAACAGAGCGATCAGTGTAGACTACACTAAGTGAACCAATGATGTAGGACCTAAATTTATCCAATGTAAACACTATATCTAGCAACTCTTTTTCAGTGGTAGTATAATTCATTTGTACTTCATTTAAAGTTTTGCTAGCATAGTATATTACATATGGTCTTTTGTCTTCCCTTTGATCTAGTACTACGCCGACCGCGTAATAACTCGCGTCACACATGAGTTCAAATGGTAGTTCCCACTTGGCTGGTTGCATGATTGGAGGTGAAGTAAGCATGCTTTTAAGTTTTTTCAAAGATGCCAAACAATCATCCTACCACACGAAGGAGACATCATTTACTAGCAAATTAGTCAAAGGTCTTGCCAATGCACTAAAATCCTTAATGAAATGTCAAAAAAAACCTGCATGGCCAAGAAACAACCTAATGTCTTTGACGACCCTTGGAGTGGTTAGGTTCAAAATTGCCTCCAATTTAGATTTGTCCACTTCGATTTCCTTTGCGGACACAATGTGTCCAAGCACAATCCCTTGTGTTACCATGAAATGACACTTTTTCGAATTAAGCATCAAATTCTTCTCTTCACAGCTCTCTAAAACTCTCTCCAAATTTTTCAAACATCTTTCAAACAAGTCCCCAAATACTGAAAAGTCATCCATGAAAACCTCCGGAGTCTTTTCCACCATGTCACTGAATATCCCCATCATATATCTTTGAAAAGTTCCCGGGGCATTGCACAAACCAAACCAAATGGCATTCGGTGATAGGGATAAGTACCAAAGGGGCACATGAATGTGGTCTTCTCTTGATCCTCTAAGGCAATCTCTATCTAATTGTAGTCAGAGTAGCCATCTAAGAAGCAATAGAAAATATGTCCGGCTACCCTCTCCAACACTTAATCGAGAAATGGCAAGGAAAAGTGATCTATTTTAGTGCAAGAGTTGAACTTCTAAGAATCGATGCAAACTCTCCAATCGATGACCACCCTTGTCGAAATCAACTCATTCTCCTCATTTTCCACTACAGTGACTCGAGACTTCTTTGGTACCACTTGCATGAGACTAACCCATTTACTGTCGGCAATTGCAAAAATAATGCCCACGTCAAGAAGCTTGAGCACTTCATCTCTCACCACATCCTTCATGATGGAATTTAGCCTTCATTCTGGTTGTTGGGATGACTTGGAATCTTCTTCTAGATAGATTCAGTGAGTGCAAATGAGAGGGCTAATTCTTTTGATGTCAACTATGGTCCAACCGATGGCTCTTTTATGCTTCCTCAAGACACGCAACAACTCCTCTTCTGACTTTGGCTCCAAAGAAGAGCTTCTCACCACCGGAAATGTTTTGTGCTCCCCAAAAATGCATATTTGAGTGTAGATGGCAATGGCTTCAACTCTGAAGTGGGTGTTTGTACCGTTGAAAGAAAAATCTTCTTTTCTTGTGGTGGAATTTTTTCAAATGTTAGGGTCCAATTCCCCACCACTTGCACATTCTCCGATTCTGCATCTTCCATAAACTCTTCCTCCTCCAACTTGGTATTGCAAAGTAAATCCATGTGATGCTCCACCAAAGTGTCAATCCGATTTACCTCATGAACTTCCTCATCATCTCCCAGTTGCTCGCAAAGGTTAAACACATTGTGATACATTGTCATGTTTCCAAATGCAACTTCATTAGACCATTCCTACAATTTATCACGGCATTAGAAGTAACAAGGAAAGGCCTACCTAATATAACAGAAATCTGTGCATTAGGATTAGCAATGAGGTGAGTGTCCAGTACAATAAAGTCAAAAGGCAAATAAAATTTGTCCACTTGTACCAAAACATTCTCAACTACTCTCCTTGGTGTTCTCACACATCGATCCACTAGTTAAAGAGTAATTGGGGTTGGCATCAACTCCTCAATTTGCAATTTTTGATACACCGAAAAGGATAGAAGGTTGACACTTACTCCCAAGTCTAGCAATGTTTGCTTCACATGACAATTCCCGATGGTTATGGCAATGGTAGGACAGTCAAGATCCTTGAACTTGGGTGGGGTGTTTGTTCTCAAGATGGAACTCACTTGCTCGGTGAGAAATGCCTTCTTGTGCACATTCAACTTCCTCTTTGTGGTACACAAGTATTTCAATATTTTTGCACAATAGGATATTTTTTTGATAGCATCAAGGAGAGGAATGTTTATCTTCTCCTGATTAAACATTTCAATAATATTATAATAGTTAGAAATTTTAGCCGGTGACTTTAAACGTTGGGGAAAAGGGGTCGAGATAGGACAATCATGCTCATTCAAATCAAAAATCTTTATCTTTTCAAGTATTTCACCCTCCTCAAAGCTACCTTTAGTTTCTTTTTCATTTTTCAATGTGGGTATGGGTGAAACTTTAAGTAAAGTGGTTTTATCTATTTCCTTGACACTCCTAAGGGTGGTGATAGTCTCGAGTTGCTCACAACTCTCTTTGGTATCATCAGACAATTCAAAAAATAACAGAGCCCATATGTTATCTGAATCGATCAACCATTTGTTGATCATTAACAAATTACCCTTAACGAGCCTCAATCAAATTTCAACTCACTTTCTCATTCAAAAATTTTCTTTCAGTAGGCGTAACTTCAAGTTTTCCATTTTGCTCAATCAATTATTTTTCCCAAGGTTCTAGTTCAGCATGAACCTTTGCTAGCTCACCACGGAACATCTCAGTTTCAACTGTTTCTCAACCAAATAAAACAAAGGGACCACATTAATTCTCCTCAGAGAGCAAACATATTTATCACACCCCTAATCCAGCAGCATGTGAAATGAAATTCATAGCAGCTTTGATACTTGTATATTAATTGTTTACACTGAAGAAAATACCTTTGGAGTTCTCCTTAATTTCCTCTAAGACTTTCTCTTCATCAAGAAAGAATTTTTGCAATTTGGGAATGTCCTCCTCCAGTTGGGGTATGAGATTTGTTAACTCCTCACATTCCTTTCGAATCTCAATAATCTTTATTGAAACCTACAATGGAACCCAAGGTAAGATACATGCATTAGTTTCAATACAAGTAGAGACCAATTGTTCCCACACCTTGTCAACTTTCTCATCGAGTTTCTTGATCTTTTGCTTCATGTGCTTTAAATCTAGATTTTAAATTACCATGTCCTTGGGATATATGGCTTCTATTATAGTTCAACAATCAATATTCTTGCTATATATTTCAACATGATGAATTTTGTAGCAGAAATACAACCTTGAAAATATTGAAAGCATATTTCAGCTATGCAATATATAAGTGTTCATACACCAGACTCACCCCATTGTCCATGTTGTATTCAATGTACAAATAGGATAATAATGCGGTATACTTTCAAAGTGGCAAACGTCACTTTGGGAAAGACTAACAAATATAACTTCCTATGTATGCACGAGCGTGCTGTATATATATGTTAGACAATTAATAGATGTTAATATCTAAATTTTGTTTTGCATTTGTGCTTCTACTAAGTTCCTTCTTGTTGGCCTTGGTAGTTCTTATTCTGCCTATATACATAGTCAATTGCTTCATTACTCCTCTTCATTGACCGCATTTCATAATATATAAGCCTACTTTAGGAGACCTTACAGTATAAATTTGGCTGTCCATTGGTGCTTCTAAGTGCCTTTTGCTTGGCCTTGGCAGTTCTTATTATGCCCGTATAAGTAGCCAATTGCTTTATCAGTCCTCTTCCTTGAAGGTATTCATAATATGTTAATGTACTTTATTTCGGCCATTAAAACCAGTGTTATTTATGGCATAAGGTGCACCAAAGCATTAATATCTCCTGGGGTAGCACAAGGCACGAAGCGAATCGGGAGCTTTATCGAAGCAAAGCACACTTTGTAAATTACATGTGTATTTAGACAAAAAAAAATTACAAGTCACAACCAAAGAAGCTCAAGAATATTAAAAATAACATAAGCAGTTGATAAATAATGAAGCATCCAAGTTCAAACTTTTTAAATCCAAAACAGTCAAATTCATCAGAAGCACAAACACCCAAAGTCATGACAAAAACAAATTAAACAATTCAAAATTAAACAGCACAAGGCATGTATCGAATTAATCAATTAAGCAATCAGAATATGCATATAAGAAAAGCAGAGAAATTCAAAAGGATATTTCAACTCTTCATAATGGTGCACAAGAATGAAACTAAAATGAAAGAGCACATAAAACTAAGGCATAGTTCTTTAAAACATGCTTTGATAAATATGCCAAAGAGATCTTTAAAACATTGAAACATGAACAAAATTTCAAGATATATATGGTCTTGGAACATTGTTTTAAATAATAGTCTCCTAACCATGACATTTTTTAAGATATATATGGTCTTGGGCAATGTCATCGATCCTTTTAATTAAGAAGTTACAGTACAGCAACAGATACACGTGCATACAGCTCTGTGTTGACAAATTCCTAAAAAGAGCTGCCAACATTTGATAGCATACAATTAGAAACTTCTAAATCAGCATTTTCAATATGATATTATGATTATCAAGCACTGCAATCCAAATATTCCCAGTAACATTCAATGCAAAATATGCTCAACACCAAACCAACTAATAATTTAAAACGAAATGAACAGAAAATATAAACACTACACTTCTTGTCTGGATCGTAGAAATCCATAGCGATCAGTATTTTTCACATTCTCAATCTCATCAACAATAGGCATATATTTTCAAATCAATCTCCTTTCATGAATCTTTTGCAGCTAGTTACAGATTTTATGTCTTAGAATAAAGTGATTTCTTTGAGTTTCAAAGACATGTCAGAGGCAAGGTTTGTCAAGAGAACCACTGTGATGCACAAAAATATGCCTTGCAACCTTTTAACAAGATAAAATCCATTGAACACAATAAATTTCAAACAAGATTTGAATAATAGTTAGAGAACTCAAGTAAAAAACCTATATATACACATTCCACTTCAAAGGAGAAAAGATAGCATAACCCTTCATAAACTCGTTTTGTACCAACAAGAACCAGGAAATCCGCCTAAGCAATGTTACAATGATACATGGGGAAACAAAGGGAAGTTTAGAGAAGGGCACTGACCATAATACTCCCTATGGGGAGGTTTCATAGACTTAGCAGAATTTTTAAGAAGAAGACATTGAGCCATGGTATTATTAGAAGTTATGTGCTTGTACTAAATAAGTTGCTTATTTGTTTTGATGAATCAATTACATTTAGTAATGGAATTAAAATATACATAACCTCTATTCGACAGTAATAGATATCATTCAAGGCCCTAAAATAATAAGTTATGTCTCTATTTTAAAACCTAATGTTTCATGGATTGCACCGAAAAATACTTGCTTGCCTAACTACATCCTGTACTACCTAAACATAATACATAAAGTTTGTACCGTTCCTCGGCGTTAACAATTGAATATGATAACAACCAGGCTACAAATTGGTATATTCCCAGGCAGGAAAAAAGGATAAGTACCCACATTAGGTGCAAATGATATATGGCATGTTCCAAGGAACATGGCATAGGTTCATGCTAAATCTAAAATACAAATAATAGCAGAAGAAATCAATTCTGGAATTTTTCACTACCATGAAATTCAATCTTATTGAACAATGCCCAGATCATCAGTTCGTAATCTAATTTCTATCTGATAAAAAGCAGAATATTTGATAGCCAAACTTAAAGAAGTAATTACACTAGCATGGCCTAATAAAGGATTGTCCTTTCACATCTTATAACTGAACTAACAATGGGTAAATCCAGGAGACTGTCATGTTTGACAGAAACCTGTTGATGGTATACATAATTCAACAAGAAAAAATAAAAGGAGGAAAAGAGAAAAAGAACTTTTTTGGCATAACTCTGATTAGAGAGGACAGCGGAAGCATAAATTTGCAGAACTTTCTGCGACATAGCCTCAAGTTCCTTGCCCCCGTCTTCTTTTCCCTGCATGTCAATAAGAATGAAAGGAATAGAAAAGTAACTTACAAATTACACATATACTAGTATGGATCCTTAAAAAAGGTGGTTCGGACCATGGGATCGATGCTTACACCCCTCCTCTCAAACACCCCAAATATGAATAATATACCTACTAAGCCTATTGCTTTGAGAACTTAAATAAATCATTGAAACATTAATATTAAGAATGAAAAGAAATCTGACGGGCAATAGTTCTAGAGACATGCGCGAGTAAATGGTGCTCTATTTTTCTTTTCCATTTTCTTTTTAAGGGTGCCATAAGGTCAAATATACCATCAGGGTTGAGATAGAATCATAATGCAGCAAGACATATAAAGACAGAGGACTGTGGGCAATTGTTGACAATGAATTGATTTTCAGTGTACAAAATAAGTAACTAAAAGAAAAAAGGGAGGGGAGCTAAAAGGCTAATCAAAAACCTATAAACAATTATAGCTTCCCTGAAAGTCTCAGAACTAAATATTGACAAGGCAAAAAAAAAAAAAAATCAACCAAGTATAGAAAACATAACATACTTTCTTCGTGAGAATGACCGCCTCAGGATCTATAGGAGGCCAAGGAATCTCTTTCTCTCTATCAACTACAGGTTTTAAAACTTCCTTGAGAACAACAAAAGCTGAATCTATTTCTTTCGGCAGCAACAAGAAAGAACTACAAAAAGGATACATGGAAAAGAAATATCAATGCAACTGTCTACAATAATCTGGAATAAAATTCCTATGATAGTGTTGAAGAGTGTGTTTTTGCACAGTTAGAGAAACAGAGCCGTACATTGGTGTTGTGGACTAGGCGACCTATGTAAATTTTCAAAAATTTAGTTACCTATAAGCATCGGCAGCTTCTTTTTTTTATTTTTTTATTTTAAGAAAAAGGAAAATTTTATTAATTGAAATTCAAGAATTACAAGAATCAACAATCAGAAACTGTTTTAAGAAAAACAGTAACTGATTTAATCAACAAAACAGAAAAAACAGTTACAATGCCAAAAACAGTAAATTTTTGTACAACTCTGTTCGAGTCCTCAAGGCCCAGCTTCTATCCCCTTTCCACAGCTCAGCACCTGAACCTTTGGACCTCCTCCAATCTTCTTTTTAAAATACTGCAGCTGCTGTTCTTGCAGCACAGTAATGCAGCAAAACAGCACAGCAGCACTACTCAGCATACAGTCCCAGAGATGTGCAACACCACAAGAGCTGGCTTTAATCCTCCAAAAGAATTAAAGGTAATTAACTTCCAGCCACATACCAGCAACATCCTATTGCAAAAGCAAAACCCCAATACAGATCAACTCCATGCCTTCAGTCTACCTCAGCACAGCATCAGCCCAGACTAAATGCAGAAACAGCATAAAGGAAAAGATACATAGCAGTGCAAAGCGAAAATGGAATAGGATTAAACCACCCCTAATACTGAAATAATGTAACAGCGACAAGGTTTTGTTTAATTGAGTTTGAGTATTATATGTAGGGATATGAGTTAATTCATTCGAATTCATTTTCAGGAAAATTTCATTCCTCTTCTTCTCTTTTTTCCCCCTTTCCACAAGACCCTGTACCTATAACCATTAAATTTCCACTGTATGGCTTGTTTAGTGGCTGATGTCAAATTTTGGTAGCAAACGGTAATGTTTTAGTAACTATGTTGGGCTATAAATAGTGACGTAAACATTAGTTTACAGTCTTCCTCTATGTTGTAGAGACAGAATGGTTGGCTCTGTGTGTGTGTGTGTGAGAGAGAGAGAAGAGAAGAGAAGACTTACAGACCGAAATCAAATGCTTGTGCGTCTGGACTGGAGAGTTCGAGAGCTAAGTTGAGGAGTTGCTGGCTGTGCCTGTGCGTCGTCTGGACTGGAGAAGAAGAGAAGACCGGCTTCACTGCCTTCCACTGCCTCTTCCTAATCACAGCCCCAATCAAAGAGGGAGAGAGAGTACTGTGTGTCGACTTATGTGTGTCAACTGGGATGGTGTCGCTGGCGGCAGTGTTCGATGGCGTCGCCGACTGTGTTCGATGGTTGGCGGTGTTCTAGGGCTCACTGGCGGAGAGAGATGGGGGAGATATGTATGGCGTAGCTGGCAGGGAGAAAAAAAAAACGATGGGGAAAATAAGAGAATGATAGAGAACAGAGAGGGGGCGCCGATAGAGGGACAGAGAGTAATTTAGGGGTTTCCAGAATCAAATAAGAGTACTGTGTGACCATTTGATTTGATTTAATTTTTTTTTTAAAAAACTCCCAAAATGACATCTTATTGAATTTTTAAAATATTATATTCTGCGATGAATATAGAAACGTCGTCATTTAGGTAGTGTTTGGTAACACCTCATTTTTGTTTTTTTTTTGTTTTTTGCTTTCATTTTATGACAAAAAAAAACATGTTTGGTGAATATTTTTATTTTTTTTTAATTCCTCTGTATTAAAAATAAGGCTAAAATAAAAAAACATCCAAAAGCATATTTTTGAAAACATAAAAAAAAAAAACACGCGCTAGTCATTTAATGAAGTCTAGGCTTCAATCCTTCTTAGTAACAAAATATGAATTTTTTTTGTTTGAGTATATAAAAAGTCATGTCTCTCTCTTTAACCTCTCATATCTCTGTTGTCTCTCTCTCTTTGCTAGGGACAAAGCTGAAGCTGGACGAAGACGAAAAGAAGCCAAAGTAGAAGGATGCAGATGTCATCTCTCCCCTCTCCCTTTGTCGCTCTCACTCTCTCTCTCAACCTTCTTTATTTTGACAATGGTGATGGATTTGGGGGAGTGGTGGTGGGGGTTGGTTGGTGGTGGGGGGTTTGGGTGGTGGTGGGTTTGGGTGGTGGTGGGTTTTTGGGGATGGGGGTGAGGTTCGGGTTGGGTGGCTGTGGGTTTCTAGGGTATATTGTTGTTGATTTTAACATTTCTTTATCTCTTTCTCTCTTTGAATGTATGAATCTCTGCTTGTGTGTGTGCATTTGGGCATCTGTGTGTGTGTGTGTTGGCACCTCTATGTGTGTGCATCTGAATGTTTGTGTGTGTGTGTGTGTCATTTACGCATCTGGTGGTGTATGTGTGTGTGTGTGTGTGCATCTGAGTGGGTGGATGCATTTAGGTAGGCGATGGGTTTCACAGAGGGGTTGGGTTTGGGTGGTGGTGAATTTTAGGAGAAGGGTTGCGGGGGTGTGGGTTTCGCACCAAAAAAATTTGAGAGAATACGACCCTTTCGCGATGTTTCTAGAAACGTCGCAAAAAAATAATTTAAGTCTAATTTAAAATTAATTAATTTACATTCTGCAACGAAATATAAAAATGTTGCGAAATATTACATTGGATTCAAAAAAATAAAATTTATTTTTCAATGATGAATTGTAGAAAACGTTGCCAATTGACATTAACTTTCATTACTTTTATCTTCTACGACGAAAAATGAAAACGTCGCGCATTATGTATTTTGATTTTATTATTTGTTTTTATTTTATATTCATTATTGTTGCAATGAATTAAAACTTTCTGTGACAACATTTTTTTGTCATAAAAAATCTTAATTTCCCGCTATTTCTAGGGCCAAAAAAAATTTGGAGTGAAACAACTTTTGGCGACGTTTTTTTAAAAACGTCGCAAAAAAACTTGTTATGTCTAATTTAAAATTAATTAATTTACATTCTGCGATGAATATAAAAATGGCGCGAAATATTACTATGAATTGAAAAAATATAAAATGTATTTTTTTGCGACGAATTCTTTGAAACGTCGCCAATTCACATTAACATTTCATTAAACTTTAGTAAGGAAAATTTATCTTCTGCGACAAAAAAAGAAAACGTCGCGAATTATGTATTTTGATTATATTTTTTATTTTCATTTTATATTCATTATTTTTGAGACGATTTAAAACTTTTTGCGACAACAATATTTTGTCGTAAAAAATCTTAATTTCCTTCCATTTCTCTAGCCAAAAAAATTTGAGAGAATATGACTTTTTTGCGACGTTTTTGAAAAACGTTGCCAAAAAATATTTTAAGTCTAATTTAAAATTAATTAATTTATATTTTGCAGACGAATATAAAAATGTCACAAAACATTACTTTGGATTCAAAAAAAAAAAAAAAAAAATCTGCGACAAATTATAAAAAACGTCGCAAATTGACATTAATATTTCATTAAACTCTAATAAGAAAAATTAATATTTTGCGACACAAAATACAAAAGTCACGAATTATGTATTTTTATTTTTATTTTTATATTCGTTATTTTGGCGACGAATTAAAACCTTTGGCGACAAAAATATTTGGTTGTAAAAAATCTTATTTTCCCACCATTTCTCGCTCCAAAAAACAAATTGGAGAGAAACACCTTTTCGCAACGTTTTTTGAAAACGTCGCAAAAAACTCCCAAAAATATATTTTTTGCGACAAAATTATTAAAACGTCGCGGATAGTGTACTTTTTTGCAACGATTTAAAATTCGTCGCAAAAAAAACGTAGCAAAAAATAATTTTTGTTATAATATTTTCTTTTATTTATTCATTTTCTTCAAAGCAATGTACTCAATATTGTTTGGGTAAACACTCGCCTTCTTGTTTAGATACTACATTTTCAACCATCTTCCAAACAGGATTTGGATATCTCAAATTTTCAAGATACTTACAAAATTTTGGATGTGCCTCCTTCTTAAGAACTCCGAGTGCCTTTTCCTTCTTTTTTTCTCTAGGACTGGTGGCTTGTCTTACTCCGAGCCAGCAATGAACAAAGTGTTAAAGTAGAAAGAGCTACCTTAATATATGTGCTTATAAATGTACTACTATACATGCCATTAAGATGAAATGGTAAGAAGACAAAGAAAGTATTTGAAAAAACAGAAGAATGAAAGTACTTTAAAAAGCGTTATTCAATATTGGGCAGATCTTCTTAAAGTGAAAACTAGTGGTTCATTTTCTAACTTTAAGTATTCTTGTAGTTTTTCTTGTTAATTTTCAGTAAAGTTTGACGGTACGGTCTTTTTATTGTAATTATGTTTTATAATAACTGCCATTGCACGGTTACCTAGGATTTTTAACGTACTTTGTTATCAATTTTAGCAGAAATTGGTTGAAAGAAGTTCAGGAGATATTATGGAAGAAGTCTCAATGACTCATCAAGCCATCCAGTAAGACCGTTCCCTTTTGTGGAATTCTGTTTGCAAATTGAATGTCCCCGAGTTTTAGCCCTTTACATTTTTCATCCTTTTCCTTGCCTTCTTGATGGCTGATTTTGTATGTGTACAAATAAAGATCACTTGATAAAACAATGTCGACATTAGAGAAGGAATTAACAGCAGCTCGGACGAGCAAAACCGGGAGTCAAGTTTCATCGGAATGGCCCTCTAACCACAGTCTACCGAAAGCATTTATTGTTATTGGAATCAATACTGCTTTCAGCAGCAAGCAACGCCGAGATTCTATTCGAGAAACATGGATGCCTACGGGTCTCTTTCTACCGCAAAAAAATATTGAGTGTTACAATATACTATGTCATCATTGTCACGTAATGTTATTATCTAATAAAAACATAAAAAATAAGTAGATGAATCCTACATATTATAGTAATCACCCTGTTATGTCATTTAATAATCACTCAATTAGAGTTTATCTTATCTATGTGTAGGTTTATTATTGAATGGTGATATGGTATTACCGTTATACCCAATATATACTCATCTACCACATTCATACTCCCTCTTCCCCCTTCTCTCTCACAGACAAACAGAAACACATGCAAACAGGATCTTGGAATTTACTCTAGTCTGTGCCTATAACTGCAAGCTGTAATTTATTTTTCACAATCTATAAAATTAAGATGATACATTCGTTTTTATTCACACATGTTGATCACAGAAAAATTAAGGCCAATAGGAGTCCAATGCAAAGCAAATTCAAGTCCAAATCAAAAAGTATATGAAATTTGTCCAAAATTTACCCGGAGGTGTATCTGTACCATGCTCCTAATCATTTAGGGGTAGGTTAATACCAAAATGATAGTGTGGCAATATAAAATATATTTAGCAATGCAACTCCTATGATATACATTATTGAAAATCATCTGTTTTTTAAAATAATATTTGTTGATGGGCCTCGGGTGGCGTCGCCCATGCAAGTTCTCCAGTGATTCTTGGTGATATTGTTAGTTATATTGTTACAATCAAGGATTTACTGCAGTTTGTTTGGATTTTATATTTTATAAAGGAATTGGAGAAAGAGAAAGGGATTATAATTCGCTTTGTGATAGGACACAGCGCCACAACTGGAGGAGTACTTGATCGAGCTATCAATGCTGAGGAGGCCAAGTACAAATACTTCCTTCGGCTCAACCACGTCAAGGGCTACCATGAACTATCCTCCAAGACCCGTTTGTATTTTTCAAAGGTTGTCTCTATTTGGAATGCAGAATTCTATGTCAAGGTCGATGATGATGTCCATGTAAACTTAGGTATGTTGATGCATTTTTTCTGAAGGTTTTCTATACATGCTGGTAATGCTCCATGCATAGTTACATGTGATATCTAGTGCTGTAAACTTTCTTGTGTAGATATGCTCATGAGTACACTAGCACGATACAGATCCAAACCCAGAATCTATGTTGGATGCATGAAACCTGGACCAGTTCTCTCAAAGAAGTGAGTTAATATTATGTTTATTAATATTGGACTTTGCCAAAATAATGCACCTGATGAAAAACATTTCCAAATATGATATTGTAAAAAATAATTATCGTAGTAAGGTTCTGCTTTGTTGATAAACATTCAAAATGTTAATTACATGTCAAAAAGTGGATTTGGTAGATACACAAATTATTTGGTAGAATTAGAAGAAATATTCATAAGAAATGTTTCTTTATCAAATTAGTCCAGTAACACATCCTCTGCTGCCAATTAGTACATCATTACAGTAGGGGGAAGACTTCTTGGGTGTCATTAGTGGCGTATTCAAAAATTACGCATACCACGGAGCACAGCCTTTGAGACAAGTCTACAAGGACAGCTAAAGGGAAAGTGAATAAAAAGGTTTGTTGATGGAGACGCACTGGTAGTAAGAATCATGTGTAAATGCTACGAAAATTTTCAACTTCAAGAAAAGTTGCATAAAGAAATTGGCCAAGACAGAGCAGTAGAGCACCCTCTACAGATTTGATCTGTTTATCAGGGATCTGCTTGTCCCTTGTTTTGCATAGGACTCTTTTTGATATGGACAGTAAAATCCATACTGTCAGTAGTGTTGAAACTAAACTTATGATCAGCCACAGGTTTCAGGTTGTCAAAGATCGGATAGTGACCGTAAGGTTCATGAACTCAGCCCAAAATTGCAGCCTTGTGCAACGTAATGTGACACCTTCCACACAGCTGAGAATGATCAAAAGTGGCATGGGCATGGATTGCACTGTCTTATTGGTGGTGTTCTTTTTAGTTTCCACCAACTCTGGTGGCGCAGGATTTTGTTGATAATGCTTGCTCATGGTTTGCACTTTCCTCAGAATTTTAGATCCATAAAACTTTTGCTTTTGGGCTTTGCTTGTATGTTTGCAGTAGATGATGCCTACATTTTCTATGGAGGACATCCCACTTACATGTACATATGTTTTGTTGATTGTGGGACAGAGGTCAGTTACTGACCTCCACCAAAGCAGCAAAGAGGCACCGCCCACAATGAGCAACTAAGGCGTCGCCCAAGTGCTACCAACCTCCAGCGTCGCCTAAGGCACCACAGCAACCTCCGAGGCATTGCCCACACAGCATAGGCAGCCTCCAAGGTGTCACCCACCCAGCCTGCGTTGCCCAACTGCTGCCATCCACAACCACGGCGTTGCCCAACTGGCGCTATCCACGCCACGACGTCGCCTAGCTACCTCCTGCGTCGGCGTCGCCGAGCCTGTCACGCTTGCACCCTAGCCTAGCGGCGCCTTCACCAAACGACACTTGCATCCAATGGTGCCCCCGCGTATTCGCCCCTACCTGGCGCCCCTACCTGCTACTTGGCAAAGGATTGACTAGGGCCCTAGAGTCCTAGCAAAACTCGACTCCGAGTATCAAGGGACTATTGATAGACAAAGCCTCCCAGCAAGCATATCTCTTCCTACAAACCAGAACTCAACGTCCTAGTATGATTCTATCTCGAACATCTAGGAGATTGGTATGAGGTCTATCCTATTGCAACCTAAAGTTCGATTCTACTTGGAACACGACTTCCTATGTCGCTATAAATAAAGGTTATGGGTACTAGGTATGCCATTCAATCCTAGCCTATTCACCATACACTTTTTCTTCGACTTGCTTACTAACTTGAGTATCGGAGTCCCTTTGGCGGCCTCCAACCATCGGTTCACTTTAGTGTTCTCTTGTCTTGCAGGTTACTCAAAGCTTACTCACCACCCTCTCCGTCTGTACGAGATGGTTAATCTTTGTGTGAATTTATTCCCGTACAATTGGCGCCATCTGTGTGAAACGATTAAATTTTCTACTAACCAAGAAGCCTTGAAACAATGACCAAAAAGCGAGCCCTCGATCCCAGAACCAGCCATTCACTACTTCCACTACCCCCGATCCGCGAGGATCTCGCTAACTATGAGGTCCAATTATCAGAGGAAGTGCTGCCTTATGTTTGGTAAGACTACTTAATAGAAAATCCTCCTTCTCACCACAACCTATCCGCTCTCGATGCAGAAGATGGGTTAGCCCCTGGAATTGATTACCATGAGGCAATCAAGAAGAAGACGGAGGAGCTAGAAGCTTTCAGGTAGGGCCTCCTACGCCAAAGTGGCAAGCAACTCGCTAGCAAGGTCAGGCGGTCAACCCGTAACCATGATCATTGTAACGATCATGTTAAGGAAGCTTATACCTCCCAACATAGGAGTCATTCTTAAGCAAGGAGCTACTCGACTCACAATCAGAGTCAAAGCAGGTACGCACTCAGGAGAAGTGTTACTAACTGCACCCTCAGAGACCTTTCTTCTTGGCATGATCACTCTCATCATAAGGGAGAGGGTGAAACACATAGACAATGTCATCCTAGGGAGCAAAAGAGATGGCATGAGAGTCATTCCCGCTATCAAAGAGAAGACCGTTGGGATGATTATAGAGGAGAAAAGTGAAGTCACTCTGAGCCAGCTTATAATGTGGCCACGTGGCCGTAACATGACTATGCTCATGACGACCCTGTTTATTCAACGAAGGAGAGAGCGAGGCAGACCCTTGCAAAGATGACTACCACACCCCATACAAAAATCTGCACCCCCACGAAAGTTCAATCCTTTGACTTTCGAGTTATATGACGGCCAGTCTAACCCTGTGCTTCACATAGGAGCTTACACCAACAAGATGGCCCTCTGGACAAGGTATAAGGCATTGATGTGCAAGATGTTCCCTTCCAATTTGGGGAAGTCAACGCTTAAGTGGTTTCATGAGATGCTCGTGAACTCAATCTACTTTTGGGAGCAACTCACTAGGGAGTTCTTCTCTCGATTCATAGCTAACAACCGAGAACCCATGACGATTGATACACTCTTGGCACTAGGCCAAAAATGGGGAGAGACTCTCCGAGAGTACGCCATGAGGTACCTAGAGACTTATGCCAACATCGAAGAATGCGACGAGAAGACCGTTGTTGGCTCTTTTCACTTGGGCCTCCCAAGGGAGAGTGAGTTGCGAAACATCTCATTATGTGGCCACCTAGGAGTATGTCCCACTTGTAGGTGCACATCCAGTGATATGTAATGGTGGAAGATGACAAAGGGCCAATTGATCGGCTTCCATCTCCACCAAGGAAGAATCAAAGGAAGGAAGGTAGCTCCACGAACCCATCAAAGTAGGGAGTAACGTCAAAGGGGACGAAGGACTCATCCCAAAGAGTCGATACTATTTTCAAAGAGCTAGTCTATCGAATTTTGAATTAAATTAAAGACAAGAATTATTTCAAGTTTCCACCGAATTTGACAGGGGACCCCTCCAAAAGAGACCAAAACTTTTATTGCTCTTACCACAAGGATAAGGGCCACTGAACAGAGAATTGTCTCTCTCTCATGCACCACTTGGAGGAGTTGGTCAAGCAAGGTCACTTATCCCAGTACATAGACAAACAAAAGACTGTCAAGAAGCAGATAGAACAATGAACTCAGCAAGATGATCAACCTCGGGAAGACCAGTCTCCCAAGGTAATAAATGTCATCTTTAGCACCACTCCACCGATGCAAGTTGACTCAGTTCAGTCTCGGACCGAGTATCGAAAAGTTTGCCATTTTCAGCATGTTATTCAAGCAGATCACCAAAGTGGTCACACTTCCAAGCGCCGAAGGGCAGAATTGGAGAGTGTTCCCATTATATTCTCAGATGTGGACTTGGAAGGAGTGGTCCACCCCCATAATAACCCCCTTGTTCTCACTCTCAACATGAGCGACTTCAAAGTAAGGTGTGTGCTCATTGACCTTAGGAGTTCAACAAAGATCATGTATTATGACTTGTTCAAGAAATTGGGGAAAATTGAGGCCAACCTCCTCCCAACAACGACCTCACTCTTTAGCTTCAATGGCATGCAAGTTTGGCCTCTTAGTACGTTGTGGCTTCCTGTCAAGGCCGGTACGCACCATGGCTTCACCAAATACAAGCGATAGCCTCTACTTACCATCAAATGTTATGTTTCCCTACTTGTGAAGAGATAGCCAAGATTCGTAGATACCAAGCTACCTCTAAAGCACTGCCTTAATAGAGGGGCTAAATTGATGGCCAGGTCACAATAGATCTTCATAGCCGATGAATAGCTCTCCCTTCTTGAGGATGTAGGGGTCAAGCCCAAAGACAAGTCAATTGAAGAGTTGCATATCATACTAGTGGACCAAGCAGATTCGGATAGATACTTCTTAATCAGGTGACAACTACATGTACCCGAGAAAGAGTCCCTTATTGGGCTACTAAGGAGGAACATTGATATATTTTCTTGGAAACCTTATGAGATGCCAAGTATTGATCCCTCATTAGCTAGCCATCATCTTAATGTTGACCCTACTCATAAGTCTATTGTTCAGAAGAGTAAAAGGTCCACCCTCCAGCATGCGAAAGCCGTTGACAAAGAAATAGGTAAACTCTTGGAAGCCAGTTCTATAAGGGAGGTTCAATACCCAGAGTGTCTATCAAACACTATTGTGGTGAAAAATAATAGTGAAAAGTGGCAATTATGCATCAACTTCACAAACCTCAACAAAGCCTTCCCAAAGGACCCCTTTTCACTCCAGAAGATTGATCAACTTGTGGATGCCAGATCTGGCCATGCAAGGATGAGCTTCTTAGATGCATATAGAGGCTACAATTAAATTTCTATGTTTGGGCCTGATAAGGAGAAGACAACATTTATCACACCAAATGGGATCCATTACTACAAGGTTATGCCTTTCGGCTTGAAGAACGCATGAGCTATTTACCAGAGAATAGTGACAAAGCTCTTTGGCTTCATGATCGGCCAAATGATGGAGGTGTACATAGATGATATGGTAGTTAAGAGCAAGGAATCAAAGAACCACCTCTCTGACCTTTAAGACGTATTTGATACCTTAAAGCATCACAAGCCTAGCCTTAACGCCTCAAAGTGTGCCTTTGGAGTGAGCTCTGGGAAGTTCTTAGGACACTTGGTGACACGAAGAGGGATAGAAGCTGATCTAAATCAGATTAAGGCTTTGTGGGCAATTACGAAGCCTTCCTCAATCAAGGAATTCTAGAGGTTAACAGGCATAGCTGCGGCCCTTAATCAATTTATTAGTCAATCTTCAAACCTATGTAGACCCTTCTTTTAGTTGCTTAGGGCAGGTCAGACTTTCCACTAGGATAATGAGTGTGATAAGACTCTTGATGACTTGGAAAGCTACCTCCAGACACTTCCTTTACGCTCCACTCCATCGCAGGAGGAAGAGCTTCAACTCTATTTAGTCGTGTTCGAACACGCTATAAGTGGAATGTTGCTATAGGCAGAAGAGAGGGAACATAAACCTATTTATTTGTAAGCAAGAATTTTTTAAAGGTAGAGACCAAATATACCCCCTCAAAAAACTAATTTTTGCCTTGGTTATAACTTATTGCAAGTTGAACCACTATTTCCAAGCACATTCCATTGCGATAATCACTAGGCACCCCTTGAGGAGTGTACTTGATAAGGCGGATCTCTCTGGTTGCACTTCAAAGTGCTCACTTGAGTTAGGGTAGTACGACCTCAAATTTATTCAAGTCATGGAGCAGGCTCTTTGATTAGAGTTCACTGCCACCAACAACGAGGTTGAATACGAAGCATTAATCTTTTGTGTAC